AGAGGGGAGGGAGGGGGGAGTGAGAAGGAGAGGAGGAGGAGGAGGAGGAGGCGGCGGGAGACGCGGGGACAGAGGGGGGTTCAGGAGTTTCTGGCTCTAGAGGAATCTCAGGGAGGGACGCTTGAAGGGAAAAGAAGGGCAAGATTAGGATTACGGCTCGATTTTTAGATGAATTAAATCGGTAAAACAGCTACAAAAAACAAAATTGGAATTTTCTTCTAAAGTGAGAAAGCAAACCTGCCGCCTTACCTTCAAGGTTCGGAGCACCGAGGGTTTCCAGCTGTGTCTCTCTCTCTTCTGTCAAGTCGCTCTCTTCATCCCCACCCGTGCTCCTCTCCTCCTCCTCCACCTCCTCCTCGTCATTACGGTCCTCCTCATTCCCCTCACCCTTGTGCTCGTCCATGTCTGCGTCTTCTGGCTGGAGGACGTCGGGCTCGCTGGACTCGGGCAGGTGGTGAGGCGTGTGCATGGTGGGCTGCGGGCTGAGCGTGGGGGGCTGCAGGGTGGGAGTAAGTGGGGACTGAGGGGCCTGAGGTGGCGAGGGAGGTAGCGGGGTCTGGAGGTTGGAGTTCAGCTGAGGAGTGTCATACAAAGCGGATATGGCGGAGGAGATGCTCTTCTGGAGGTCCTGATTCTTTCCCACGGAGTCCTCCTCGTCGGAGGAAAACGACGGCAAGGTCTCCAGGTTCCTCTTCAGCTCGTCCTCCAGGCGCTTCGGGCTCGGGCAGTTGCCCAGCGCCAGCCTCCCGTTGCCTTCGCTGTCCCCGAACGCAGGCGGCGGCGGCGGCGGGGGGGGATGTGCGGGAGACAGTGGGCGCAGGCCTCCCGATTTACACGGCGAGGTTTTCTCCATTGTCCGCCTCCATTCCCGGAGAGATGTCCAAGCCTGGAGGTCTCTTCCCAGTCTTGAGGAAGTCCAAGAAGGAAGCGACAAAGCCGGCTTTGGATTCAGAATCCTTTTCGTCACCCTAGAAGTGATGAAAAAGGGACACAGCTAATGTGATGAACAGCCATTACATGAGCAATTTATTCAAATTTAGCACTAACTGCTGAACTCAGCAAAGACATAACCGAGGAGCTCTTACTCTGTCCTCCAGCCCCTCATCATCCACCCCTTCACTCATCATGTGGCTCTTCTGCTTGTTCTTTTCCTGACTTCTGTTGCTTTCGGTGCTGCAGGGGGGTCCGGGACTTAAACCGAGTGAGGGAGCGGAGCCCACCGAGCCGTCCGACAGAGCGGGGTCCGTGCCAGACAACGAGTCCGTCCTCAGCAGGGCATCGGAGGAGGACAGGGTACCAATTGGTAACTTGATCTGGAGCAAAAAGATATTAGGAAACAGGATGAGATAATGATTAACTAATTGGGAATAATTATGCAATTATTTCTTACAGTCACAGGACAGTTTAAACGGAGCAGCTCTGTAATAACAAACACTATATATTTACCAGCAACACAGAAATGTTCTGAAATAAAGATTTGAGAATGATGCCACACTGACCTTCAGGGGAGGAATTGGCTCATGTAGCTGCTGTTGGGGTTGGTGATGGAGCTGCTGCTGCTGCTGGAGGGGATGTTGGTGCATCTGATCGGGCTCCTTGCCGCTCATCTCCATGTACATGTCCTCCCTCCTTTGTCCCCTGCCTCGGCTTCCACGGCCCCTGCCCCTGCCTCGACCCTCCACGGTGAATCCCGCCCCTACTGTCGCCCCACCCAGCTCTCCCATCATCCCCCGTGGAGTGTAGGGCTCCGGCATGGGGCGGATGCGAGGCCTGCCTCTTGGCCTCGGGGGGCCATCTCTCTTGGGTCTAGTGGGCTTTCGGCCCCTCTTCTTGGGTCCATCCTGAGGCAAAAGAGAGTGGGAACCCATCGAGGAGTACCCAGAGGAGTGGTAGAAGTCGATGTCACCCATTAAAGGACTGAGAGAGCCACTTCCCCCTCCTCCCCCTCCTCCCGCCCCTCCTCCTCCCCCCTTTCTGCAGCTGGACACCAGGTCCGGCAAAAGGTCCGGGAGCCTCCGGCTGTTCAACCGGATGTCCGCCGGCTGGTCGGCTTTATCCTCATCGTCTTCAAACTCATATTCTTGAGCGTAACTCTTTTTAGGCAGTGTGTTGGGGTCCCGGCGCTCCTTTAACAGGTGGAAGGAGCTGGACTTCAGGAGCTTCTTGGGGCGAGAGGAGCAGAAAATGGGAGATTGGAGGCCTCCGGGACCAGCGCCTTGGCCAGGTCCTCCGGGCCCAGAGGACATCTTGGCTCCAGAGTTGTTGGGACCGGCAGAATTGGGACCCATCCCCATAGCTGGGCCCTGGGACTGGATCAGTCCCAGCTGTTCGGTGTTCACAGTGGAAGGGAGCTCGTGGCCTTTCAGGGAGTCTAGATCCAGAGTCATGGTGCTGTTGCTGGGCTCTTGCAGGCCATGACAGTATGGCTCATAACCTTGATCGCCACCATGGTGACCCATCATGTCATAGCCGGCTCCGCCGCTTCCCCCGGCTCCGCCTCCACCCGGTCCAGCTTTCATGGAATCCATTCCCTCTTGTCCAGCGTGCCTTTCGTTCATCTCCTCCTGTCCTGGTCCTGCACCTCCAGCGCAGCTCGACTTGTAGTCCTCCGCGCAAAACATGTCTTCCATTCCGGGGAAAAAGGAGCGGTCCTCATCCTGAAGGAGGGAGTCCGGGAAGCAGATGGACGTTAGGGGCACAAAGCGGTTACTCTGTTGATTCTGGTCCGCTTTCTCCACCGGGCTGACGGTGTCAAACTGGTGCTGCTCAGCGCGCTGTCGGTCCAGCTGGCTCTGCTGAGGGGGGAGCTGGGACGACAGCGGCTGCTGTTGGTCCGCTTGTGGCTGGGAGTGGCCCGAGGCAGACGGCGGGGGGATGTGGTGGGGATGCGGGGGCTGCTGGTGAGGGTGGTGGGAGTGGCTCTGTTGGTGCTGAGTGCTTGGATGCTGCTGCTGCTGCTGCGGGTGGTGCTGTGAAAGATGGTGCATGTGAGGCGGGGTGGACAAGCCGATATCGGGCTCGGAGAGGAAAGAGTGCAGCTCAGAGGCCGAGTGTTGCTGTGTGTGATGGTGGGACGGATGCTGCCTCTGCTGCTGCTGCTGCTGCTGCTGCTCCTGCCTGTGGCGCTCACTGCTTCCTCCACCTCTTCCCACGCTGCCCGCTCCGCCGCGCCGGTCCTCTGCAGCGGTTACGTCGGAGCCGGAGGTCTGAGAAAGGGAGCGTTCCAGCATGTCCAGAGAAGACACCACGGCGCTCTGCTTGACCTGGCTCTGCTCGTGCTGATGGGACTGGCCGCCGTGGTTGTAGTGGGCCGCAGCCACCTCCAAAGCCTGCGACTGCAGCTGGAGCTGGAGCTGGGTGGTTTGGGACTGAGACGGAGCCTGGTGTTTACTCGAGCCAAGTGCCCCACCGGCGCCTTCCATCACAGCTTGTTGTTGGCTAATGGAGTGCTGTTGATGCTGAGGGTGGGGGTCCATTTTCGGGTGTTGCTGATGTGGTTGGTGGGAGTCCATTTTGTGATGCTGTTGGTGCTGCCGATGAGAGTCCATTTTGTGGTGCTGCTGCTGCTGCTGCTGTTGGTGTTGTTGTTGTTGGTGGTGAGAGTCCATCTTGTGGTGCTGTTGATGAGGCTCCAGTTTGTTGCGGGTGGTGTGGGACAGCACTGACTGGAGGAGGTGTGGCGGCTGGCGGGACTGATCGGTGGGAGAGTCCATGAGGGAGCCAGCCGCTTGCGACTGGGAATGCTGCTGCTGGACTTCCGGTGTTTTCCGGGGATACGGGATTTCGGCGCGCTCCTGCGGCTTCTTCTGCAGCTCCATTTGGGTGTGCGACGGAATCTGCGGGTGCGAGGACACGTGCTGACTGTGCGAGGAGTGTTGGGGAGCAAGGGAGTGTGGATTGTATGGGTCACCCCGCCCATAGTGGACCACTGAGCCTAGGTTGTCATGGTGATGGAGATGAGAGTGCACTTGTTCAGCGCTGCCTCTGCCCCCACTGTTCCTGCCGCTTCCAACAGACCTCTCGTTCCTTTGCTGCTGTTGTTGTTGCTGCTGCTGCTGCTGCTGCTGCTGCTGTTGCTGATGATGGTGTTGTTGTTGTTGTTGTTGTTGTTGCTGCTGCTTCTTTAGCGACATCTCCAGCTGGTTTTCCAGCCCCGAGATGGAACCTCCAGAGCCTGCATTACCAGTCGACGTGGCACTATGGGTGCGTATGACACTCTGGGGATGGTACCTCTCCTCGGAGCTCTTGCCCATGTCATAGCTCAGCCCTTTGCCTGAATCGGCGGCGGGGGGACCTGGCTGGGGCTGAGGCTGTGTTTGTTGGGGGGCCTGTTGTTGGGGATGGTGGGGTGCGGGACTCGCTTGGGCTTGCAGCAGGTGCTGGATTAAGAACTCGTCGTCGTCGTCTACTTCCTCTTGGGATCTCTGAGAGCCCACTCCGAGCATGGAAGTGTCCTTCGCTTTGGAGGCGGTGGAATGATAGGACTGAGATTGGGAGCTGGGGCCTCTGGTGTCAGTGTAGCCCTGTGGGGAGGCCAGGAAGGTGGGGGAGAGAACCGAGGAAATGTATTTGTTAGAGGCCGCGCCTCCTGGAGATTGCGTGGGGCAGGCGGGCACTGGGGAGTGCAACCCCGGACGGATGATGCCCGAGTTGCCCGATGGAGAGGGGCTTGAGTCTGGAAGATGATAAGACCCTCCACCGCTTCCGCCTCCACCTCGCTCATTGGTCATACCGTTTCCAGCTCCTCCTCCTCCTGACCCGGCGTTCCCACTTCCTGTGCCGCTACTGCTTCCACCGCCAGAGGCGCCACTGCCCGATGAACCACTTGACCTCAACAGGGCAGGGGAGTGACCCGGGGCGCCGTAGCCCAGTGATGGGCTTCCAGCTCCACCCAGGGAGGACGGGAGCGATCCATAAGCAGAGTCGGCTCCATATAGGTCGGTCGGGTATGACTGGCTCCGCCCTCCTAAGCTCCCGTAGCCTTTCCCACCTGTACCCGAGCTCAGGTCTTGGGCTTGTGGTGAATTGAAGCCTCCGTAGGACTGAGCCAGGTGGGAAGTAGGAGGTTGGTTGGGGGAATACGACTGTGTCTGTTGTTGGGGTGGGGTCTGACCAGTAAGAGCAGAGGTGGGGTTCTTCCCCGGGGGAACAGGAGAACCGTAGCCTGAGAGGCATGACTTGGGGAGCGCTTGAGGGGCTGACGTGGAGGTGGCCGGGGGCTGCTGCTGCTGCTGCTGCTGCTGCTGTGGGGCTGGGGGAGGAGGGGCTGGTTGAGGGGGTGGTTGCTGCCTGGATGCGGTCGCGCTGGAGCTGGAAGTGGGGATGGAGTTGGAAGGATGAGCCCCGGAGGTGGCAGAAGAAGAGGAGGAGGAAGATGAGGTAGAGGAGGCGGACGGCGGCGTGTGGGGAGTTCTGGAGGATGACGCTGAACTGGCAGAGGAATAGCCACTGCTGGAGCTGTTCTTTGTACCTTTCCCAGCTGAAGAAGATGACGAGGAGGACGACGACGACGAATAGGGAGGCTGGATGATCGGCCGATACTGCTCAGTGCGAGAGCTGGGCTTGTGGTCAGACGAGGGGCTCTGCTCCCCCAGAGGGCTGCAGGAAAGCCCGGCGTGCCTGTGGTGGGTGGCAATCTGCTGGTACCCCGCCCCTCCGCAGCTGAGGTAGTGCTGAAGGGAGTGGGCCGCAGAGGACGAGAGCTGTGACTGAGCCGGCGTGGGCCGCTGGTAGTGCTTGATAACGCTGTCCTGCCGGGGAACTGCACGTTCCTGAGCCGAGTTGGACTGGGACTGGGGCTGCGGCTGGGCTGACGAAAACACTGATGCATTGTACAGCTGGGACGACTGGTCCTGCAGCTGTGACGACAGCAGGTTGAACTGGTGCGACTGCAGGTGCCTGGCAGAGGACGACTGGGCCGACGCGGCGCTGCTGGGATCCTGGCTGCCCCGATAGGCAGCTGCTGCGGCTCCCTGAGACGACAGCAGCCTATCGAAACCCAGGCTAGACTGGGAAGGGGCTTTGATATGTAACAAGGGGTCATGTGGGGACAGCAGGCCATTGGATGTGGGACTAAATGTGGGCGTGTCCTGGAGAGAAAGGGAGGCGGTAGGGAAGGAGCGGCTGGAGAAGGATGCTGGATGTTGATAGGCCGAGAGAGGTGAAGAGGAGGTGAATGAGCCAGAGCCAGGAAGGGCCCCAGAGATGAAGAGTTCAGGGGGAGCAGGTGTGTGCATCGCTGTTTGGAAAAGGAAGACATATTACAAAATTACTCAGTATCCATCGAGCTGTTATTCAAATGACCAAGTTGTACTAGTCTCCTTAGTAGGTGAAACAATTAACTGTACAGTAAAATCCAAGAAGAAAATGCTTTATAGGCGACAATGTCAGAATAGCAATGCAGCCAAACATAATGTCATATTGACTTAGGAGCCAGTTTGAATGTCAACAAAGGAGAAGATCAGCCCCACCTGTCTGCCAGGTGGGCGTGCGGAACTGGGAGAGAAGGGAGGAGGCAGAAGGTGGAGGCTGGGAACCGCGAGACTCCAGCGCTGAGATCAGATTCATGACGGAGGCGTCGGGAGCAGAGGGGCTGGCGTGGTGGAGGCCAGTGTCAAAGAGCCCCGACAGGCCTTTGGGAAAGAAACACAGAACCATGAAAATTGATTAATTGATCAAGAATGCACATTTTAACAGTTTATTTATAGAAATTGAGATTAATTCCTAATACTTAATCACTACACATGCAAAAATACGTTAATATCTATATTCATTAGCTGAATCTTCTTACACATTAACAAAGAATTTAAATCGTGACCGCCGTTCCAAGTGGAACTACGTACACAGACGTCCGTTGCTGAAAACAACCTGGAAGATTTCGGTAAACTGGAGGAGACTGAATGCTGCGACTACATGCTTTCACGTCTAGGGCTTCTACTCAATGGAGCTCGTCTTAATGTGCACATTTTTCAATGACACGGTACCAGGGCCTGCATAGAGAGACATAATAACTCACTGCTGGGGCCCCTTACGTTAGTGACATGCAAGGTATGACATTTATCTCACCCAAACTGCGTCCAGCTGCTCCCCAAGCCCCGCCTTGGCCGGAGCTCCCTGGGTGGTGATTGGTGGCATAGCCTTGCAGGGGGTGTGGGGTGGCGTAGGCTTGTCTGTGCAGGAGCTCAGACTCCGGGTGGGATGATCTGGAACTCCCATACACAAGACTAGGGAGACAGGGAAGTTGGGAAATTGTGAAGGATTCTTTATGTCAGAGCACATTTGCATAAATTCTATCCGTTCACCAAAATTCTACCCTTGAGAAAAAAACGGTCTCAGCATGAGGAGGGGGGTCACTTTTGCAACACACAAAACCCAGCACTCAAGTACATGAATAAAATGAACACATCTTGGATGTCAAGCTAAAAAAGGATTTTCTTTTGTTTGGTCTACTTATTAAAACTTTTCAAACCACAGTACTTGGCAAGTCTGATCAATAGTTGAGGTTAAGGGTAAGGACCTCCTGCCCCTCCCCAAGTATCTAAATCGAATAACAAGCTTGTGCGTTACACCAAATTGTATGACAGAAGATGCAAATCTGTGAAATAAGAGCTGTAAGTGCCATGCAAAAATGGGATCATTTATTTGCAAGTTATACAATGGACCCCAAAGACTCAACCAATACATCATTTATACATTTGCCAGTTAAATACGATTGTTGTTCAACGCTGCGGATTGGAGAGTAGCAGAACTCTGCTTTACAGAGTACAGATGAAATGCGTGGCTGGCCAGATAACATGCTAGCATTTGTGCTGCTGGTTAGCATCCACTAGCCGCAAAGCTCAGCATCTCTGGTAGAAATGCAGACAAGGCCCCGACTGCGAGGCCAGTTTTGTACGTGTAAATAGCCCACAGGTCACCGCTGAGCAGAGTTAGGCTCAGTGATAGAACACTCGTCCCTCGGTATTTAAGTCATTAAAGACGAACGATTAATTGGGCTGCAGCCGTTTATTAGGTCGATGAGGCTAACAGCTGGTTGGTGCAAGTCGACGCAAATGCACGCTGAGCTTGCATGCAAACACCACCAACAAGCCGCTTTATTTATTTTCAGTATCCCGTTAGAAAAGGAGGCTGGTGCCGTTCCACTTTGATAACGCGGCCCAGCTATGGGTGAACATATGTCACATGTGAGCGGTTGACTAAGCAATGCTGCTGCTTGCCAGCGCAGGCCTCAGACGGCTTCCATGCAACACAGCGCTAGCTCGCAGGCTAACGCACAGCTAACAGCTAAACCCTGAACGCTTCAGCACAGACGATTTTCAGCAACACATAAATTCAGTCTGGCCTTATTTTTTTTCTCAACCAATTCTTAAACCAAACGGCTAATTTGCAAGTTCCATGCAGCTTGAATATTCGTGAATGTAATTATGCAAATTAACCTAAACCATCCAAAACCCATCGCCAATTATATCTAGATCACGCTTGGGCAAAAACGTATTAGAAACCTTTTTTTTTATTTTTTATTGATGTTGGAACAGTCTCCCGTTTATATTTTTATTCCACGTTTTCTTTTCCAGCGTAACACATTCAAACAAGGCTTCATTAAATGCATTTCCCCGGTAAATATGCATCAGTTGTTCTTGTTGATGTCTGTCAGGCGCTTTGCTGCGTCTGCACTCTTCGCACTTGCTATAAATCCAGTGAATTGATCTACGAGGGTCCGTGTCCAGGCCTGCACACACGGGGAACAATAATTCCTATGGATGCTCCAGACATAAGCCCCCCCACCGACCTCCACCCCGCCAGGTCCACCTAAAACCCCACGTCTGTCAATCAAATTCAATTCATATCCCCAACCTACCCCCCCCCCCCCCCCTTTTTCCACCCCGGCCACCCCCAAGAAAAGGCCCCCGGCCCATTTCGCTTTATAAAAATAAAACCAAGCCAACGTTTGCTTGCAATTTCGCCGCACACAATGGCAAAGCATGGCACTGTTTTGTGAGCCCCAATGGCGACAATTTGTTTACATTGGCATCATCGTACCCTGCAAAGTGCCAGTGATGCGCGCACATTGTCTCGATCCAATGCATACCTTGCTTTCGCCGATCTCTCGTAACTCCATCCTGCTCCTGCGCCCAAATCACCAAATCCTGTTCCCGGGTAATTTCTATCCATTTATGTGGTTACGATGCGTTGCGATGAGGGACGAAAGCAGCGAGAACGTCGCACCGCAGATTACGGGAGGAGGGGAGGGGGGAGAAGGGGGAAAAAAATCCAGTCTTTCCCGTTCTCGCTTTCAGGCGATTTCCCCCGGTTTCATAAGCGAGTCCTCAGGAGTGGAAAACAGCATATTGAAAGAGAAATGGAGGGGAGGAGGAGGAGAAAGCTGGATGAAAAAAAAAGAGGGGGGTCTACGGGGTTATAATCCAACTACCTCCACCAAAAAAAAAAAGACAGTCTTTCTCCTTTTCCTTTCACATGTATCATCCCCTCGAATGCAGGTTAAATCCAAAATCAGTCATGATGAAGGAGGAGGAGGAGGAGGGGGGAGCTGGCTGGTGTTGGACGAAAGGCTGATAAACATTTGATTTGAATGCGTCCTTTTTTCCACCGTCTCTCCTCCCCCTTTCTTTAGGCTAGTCCTTTGCTACGATGCTAGCGGCGGTGAAAAAGAAGAATACGACGGGCGGGGGGGTGTCGCGTCCGACGGGGGCAGCGATCACTCACCGGAGAGCAGCGAGGGGAACCCACGGTCTCAAACTTGTTTTTATTTCTCCTCCCTTTGATGCAAATCGTCCTCCACCCCTCCACCTCCACCCAGCAGCACGGAGGCGAGCTAGCAGCAGATGCTAGCTGTCAGCAACGACGCATCAAAATAAAACAGGGCTGCCTTTATTTCCTCCCAAACGCTCGCTCCTCTGATTTCTGCTCTTGAGGCCATTCAGTGTGGAAGGGGGAGAGAAAAAAAAGGACGACGGGTTCAACTCGGCGCGGAGCACACGGGCACGATGCAACGGCAAAATAAAACATGAAACACCCAACGAGGAAGTGTTAAGAAACGGGCCGCGTTTTAATATCTTTTACAAATTTTCCTCCGGAGACGCCATTTTTGAAGGCGGCTAGCCGCTGTCCGTCCTCCCTCTCTCTCTCTCTCGCCCCCCCCTCTCTCTCTCTCTCTCTCTCCCTCCCTCGCGCTGAGACTCACTCGGTGTCTGCGGTGACCTCCGCTCGCCAGGCCCTCAGTCTGACAACCAGGCCAGGCGTGCTTTTCCACCGTTTCCCCCCCATTGCGAGGCTAATTATTATTATTATTATTTATTTTTTGGACTACATTTAGTAGTCGCGAGCGGAAATAAGTCAGCTGTTCGGCGCGGGCCGCTGCGATTGGCTGAGACGCGTTTCGCGTGCACAACACATTTCCAGCGATAACCAGATTCGCGCAGGCCAGGCCTCCCTTGGCCCGCGGATCCACATCCGAAACGTGCAGCCTGTTTTGAGGCACGGTGGCATTTCCTGCCTCCGGTCTGGAGCTCAACTCGGCTGCAGTTCGCCCGTAAGCACGCGCATGCAAATAAGGGGGTATTATCTCCATTAATACTCCATAAATACGTCCCTTAAGCCTATTTCTATGCTATTTATATTATGTTGAGAACCTGCACTGCCAAACTGCACGCGGTGTGTGCGCCAGCAGATGGCACACTGGATTTCGTGGTCATCATAAAGGAGCAGAATTCACTGCGAGCAGAGGGATGCTTTTGCTCGTGATCCGGACGATGTAATGGCCTTTTCCCGTTATATCGATCTCCAGTTTTACACATTAACCAAAATAACAATATTAACCACCCGAGGTGGCGTTCCCACTATTTAATATTGAGCAATGTAATGCGATAAATGTTGCCTTTCTGTAAACAATGATGTCCACGCTCCAGAAGCCCATTTGTCCAGATATTAACGGCGTGCGGTATTTGCTGCCCCCCAGCGGTGAAAGTGAACGACGTCACCAAAATACTGTAAATGCTTCGTGACCACAACATTGGATCCATTTCCAATGTGTCACTTCATGACTGTGCCATTTTTGAAAAAATCCTGCAAAAGCACATTACACTTTCTAGAGTATGAAATGATCCAGTCAGATATCATATTTACAACACAATATGTGTGAGAAAGTATATGCTGTCATTGTTCTGATTTGCTGTAACCATAAATCATTCCACATTCTGTTGGTGGAACAAATGTTACCACCTCACAATGTCTTAAGCCAACAGAGCAGTGTTATGCAAAGTCAGGCCTTCCAATCTCTTTTCAGGAACCCCCCCCCAGTTGTGAGCATTTTAGATGCATTATGAGGTCTTTGTAATGCATAACGCTTGACTCAAAAAGGTCGGCAATCTACATATTCATTAGAAGGACGGTAAAACAAAGGACAGGAATGAAGGCATTCAGGAATACCCAACTCATACTGGGTGATGTACATAAATAGGAAAAAAGGAAAGAATATCAGACAAGAGAAAGAAGCAAAGACACATAACACTTAGCAAAACATTTAGCAAAAACAGAACAAATACATAGTAGAAATTATTGCAAAATGTTTAAATAAAACTGAATAGTGTCTTGCAGCTGATCCATTTCCTTCGTGTTCATCGCACATGATCATGGTTGTGCCTCCTCCCTCCCTCCCTCCCTCCCTCGCTCCCTCCCTCCATCTCTGTTACCGACCCGTAACCACAGCTCCTGCAGCGACGCACCGCCAACAAACCCCGGGTCTTCTCTGTCAAAATGCCAGACTCCATCGAAGCCATGCCGGCCCCCTGCCAGGTTATCAAAGAGGATGTTAACAAATGGTGAGTTATGACAGGAACGAACTACCAGGGCTCAACCTACTAATCATGGCAATCTCCGGTGAGTGTGAGTGCCCGTGCAGCGCCGAGTGTATTTGTGTAACTTGTACGGCATTCAAATTGTTTGAGTTCCAACTAAATACGGGTCACTTTCCATAACAACGGCGTGTCCGTTCTCTGTCATCACCAACGACCTCCACGGGGACATCCAATGCAACTCATATTCATTTCAGGCCTCAACTTGTGAGTCTAATGAGAATTCATGTAAAATACACGTTTCCAACTTTCAGCTGCGTCACAGGACTGAGTGCAATGACACGTGCAGAGAGCTCCTACAGCAAAACGCACGTCCCCGAGAAGCACAAATACACCTGAGTTTAAAATAGACTTCCACACGTATGACCTATTGCAGCGCTCCGGCACATTCCAGGCTGCTGGATCGCGTTACATGGAGTAGCGACAGAGGATTAGTGCCTGTGGAGCTGCTGCACAGATTACACAATCTTCTTCTCGCACTTCAACAAATGCAGATAAAGGCAGCTGTCGGGGGGGTTGACTTGAAATACTTCACTATCAGGATGTACTTTGATAATGATTTGGTATCGCACACAGGCCCGAATGTTAGAAATATTACTGGTATCCTCCACACACAGTCATTTGACCCCACATTGTGTTTATTTATTTGATCATTTAAGAGGGAAACCATGTATTATGCCAAAGGGATACGCCTGATACATGTGCAGTGAGTGGTGGGTGCCTTTTGTAAATCCAGCTTTTTGTTTCAGTGTCAGAGAGAAGGGAGCGGAAAGCTGTAAAGATCTGATAGATGCCTTACTGGCCTGTATAAAAACCCTGTCTGAGGGATCATGATAAAGGAAGTGCACATTAACAAAACATGTAAGTTCACACCAATGGCTACAAAGTATTATCATTGATTTGGGGTAAAGAGTGATAGAACATAAAGGTCCTGGTCTTACACTGGTAATTACACCAAAAGATTTTTTTCAAAGCTATAGGCGGTCTCCCCTGATACAGGGTGGAGGGGGGGGGGGGGGGGGCATGTTAAGACCCCCAGTTATGCCCTTTCTCTCCCAAATACTTCTATAATTTCCCCCAGCGAGATGGCGAGAAACCCCGGGGGGGGTTTAATTT